AGCAGAAGGTGGCAGCCCGTGGGGCCGGGGCAGAGAACGTCCACTACAGCGACAGCAGAAAACAAACTGTATTGACAGGAGGACATGGAGGGCCGTGGGCTCGGGGTCTCCTCTCAGGGTCATGTTCCAGCGGGGTGGGTGGGAATGGGGAGGAATCGGGAGCAGTTCTTCTCGAGGTGGGCTGAGAAAAGCATCCAAGTCCAATCTCCCGCGGCTCATACGCTCAGGGGGAGCATTCCCGGCGCCGAGGACGGTCGGGAGCCCCCCAGGCCCGGGGGCCCTTGGTCAAAGCCGTTCACTGCCCTGGGAACAAGAGACAAGAGTCAGGGGTCAGGGGAGGAGCCCTGAGCCCACTCCTCCCTCCCCAGGGGCTCAGGGACTGTCCCAGCCCCGGGCTCTGTGCAGGGCTGGGCCCTCACGCTGCTCCCTCCGGGCTCAGCAGAGCCGGCTCTGCCCCACCAGCCCCACCCGAGCAGGGGGGCTCTGGCTGCCCCCACAGCCTCCCCCTTCCCCTGCAGCTTGTCCATCCGTGCTCTGGTGACAGCATGAAAAGGCACCAAAACAAGGGAAAGAAATCAGCATTACTGCAGTAGGAGACAGAATGAAAGGAAAATAAAATACCTTAAACACAGCAACTGTAAAAATAATCAATAAAAGGTCCTGCCTAAGCCTCCAGGAAGGAGCTGGGAAAAGCTCCTGTGCTCCAGCTCCAGACTCCGGCAGCTCTGGGAGGTGTCTGGAGCCTCCTGCCCACAGTGATTGACCCCAGCCAGGTCCCCTCCTGCCCCTGCCCCCTTTCCCTGGCCCTCAGACCAGCCCAGCACTCTGTGGTGCCTGTGCCAGACCCTCGTGCTGGGATTCCCAAGAAAGCAGACAGAGCCAGGAGCAGCTTTCCCTGCTGGAAATGTTCCTGCAGTGGCTCCTCAGGGATGTTTCTGACCGCCTGTCCCTGCAGTGCCATGGGCTCTGTGTCCACGTCCAGCCACTCTCTGCCCTGATTACTAATTTGGATTACTCATTAAACTGCATTTCAAGCTGTATTTTGTACTTGGCACCTCGTGCCCAAGACTTCCTCAGCTCTAAGTCTCTGACAAATCCTCAGTGGAAGATTCTTCTGGAGCTGAAGAGTCTAGCCTGAAGGGAAAATGGAGCTGGTAAAGCACACTTGGAGCCCTGGAACTGCACACCCCTGGAACTGCACACCCCTGGAACTGCACAGCTCTGGAACTGCACACCCCTGGAACTGCACAGCTCTGGAACTGCCCCAGGTGCTTCCAGCTGCCACAGCTGAGCTGGGCAGGGACAGTGACACTGAGCAGGGACACTGCTGTCCCTACCACACTGTCCCCTCCCTGCTCTGCCCCTGGCCATCTCCCAGCCACAAGTGCCCTTGTTTGCTTTCCTGTCAGCCACAACCATGCCACTGCACATCAGCGAGTCAAGAGCCACAAAATGCTGAAGGGAAATCACAAGCCAAGGGCAAACCTCGCAAACTGACTCCATGGTGAAGCCACGCTTCCCCTGCATCCCTGCTGTGACCAGTTCCATCAGAAACATGCACTTCTTTGAAGGATTAAACAGGTGAAGAAAGCAAGCAGCACTCAGGCTTATGTTTGCAACAGGTCACAGCAGCAGAGAGGTTTATTCCAAGTCAGGAGAGAGCAATTGCAGGCTCAGGCTTTGGTCATTAATTTGATCAGGGCCCATTAGTGTGTGGCACTACCAACTACCTCGTGCAGTTACCAGAGCCCCCAGAGCTGCCCCAAGCCCCAGGTTACACCACATGCAGCCAATCAGTGCAAATGAATTCATTTACCCATGACCAAGGTGGGGAATATGACCTTCTCACGCCTAGTGGAGAGAAAGGGAAAGTTTATGCACACAAAAATGACATTCCTGAGCACAACCCTTGAGGCAACAGCTGGGGCCAAGCACAGGTGTTCAACCAAAGCTCAGTCTGAGCTCTGCAGGGGCAATCCAGCACAGCACAGGCACAGGATCACCATCCCAGGCACCCACAGCTCCCTCTCTCCCAGGGAAACCTTTAAATAAGGTTTAAATAAGGTAGATCAGGGACAGGAAAAAGACCCAGATTTCCCAGCCTGGTGTAATGTGGCCAGGGCTGTGGGTGACAGAGCAGAGACACCTCTGACTGCTGTGTGTGAGCACAGGCACTTCTTACATTAAACTTCAGCTCATTCATGAAAACAAAGCCCAAGGGATTCACAGAAATAACCAAGAATAACCATCAGCTGTGAGGACACTGGCATTCATGACTGCAGGAAGGGGTAGAAGCACCTCAGGCTGGCTTGTCCCAGTGCCAGGGCCCTGCAGAGCCCAGAGCAGTTTTGTTTCCTGGACATTAACAACCAATTAACAATAATTACAACAGCAAAAACCAAGTATCCATCCTGAGGACCATCCTCAGGTGCTGTTCTGCCATTCCCTGGCACCTGGACAGAACCTGCACATTGCTGAAGGGCAAATCTGCAGGAGACTGATCTTACACCAGACACTGAGTTTTTAACAAGCAGGTAAAGCCTGACTCCCCCAGCTCTGCAGCCAAACTTTGGTGCAAGCCCTGCTGTGCTCCAGGCCACCCTGAAGCAGTGCTGCCCTGTTCCCCTCCGAGAGCAGGACCTTGACAGGAGCTGGAGACGCTCAAATGTTTCAACCAAGGGAATGGCAGGAGGAGGAAAACAAACAGAGCTGTAAGGGCATGGCTGAGTTACCTCTGAGCCAACCCCACCACTCAGCCACCAGCTGCTCCTGGCTGCAGGCTGGAGCTGTCACAGCTGGAGCAGGGTCACACTCACCCCTGGGTCAGGGTCACACTCACACTGGGGTCACGGTCACCCCTGGGTCAGGGTCACCCTCACCCCTGGGTCAGGGTCACCCTCACCCCTGGGTCAGGGCCACCCTCACCCCTGGGTCAGGGCACAGCCAGCACAGGCTGCCCTGGCTGGGTCCAGCTCCCAGCCAGGCTTTCCCCAGCAGGGATGCACACAGCTGGAGCACAGCACAGGCACTGCCAGCAGCTCCTGGGCACAGAGCAGGGCAGCAGAGTGCCTGAGGGACAGCCTGGGAGCAGCACACAGGGACAGGGGACAAAACCAGGACAGTGGAGCCATGCAGCACCTCTGGCAACTTGCAATAAGCACATGAACCAATTCCAGCCCTTTTCCTGTCCACTAACACCTCCAGCTCTGCTGCAGCAGGCTTTCTAAGCCTTCCTCAGCCTCAGCCTGCTCCTCCCTGCAGAGGAGTGTGATGACAATCTGCATAATTATAAGTGACCCCCACCCCACAGAGCAATCAGCTTATTGTCACACCACACCTCAATATAGCCACGCTGCCTGCTCAGAGCTGCCATAATCCCTCCCCAGCACTTCCCTGGAGCTGCAGGAGCACTGCTGGGGGATGCACAGCCCCCTCAGCCCTGCAGCACACACAGCCCAAAAGGCTCATTTGCACGTGACTTCAGAGCTCTGAATTCTTCCTTTCCCAAAGCAGTGAACACCAGTGGCTCCAGAAGCTCTCACTGCCAGTTTCGGAGGTGCAGCTTGCCCTGCTCCCCACACAGCCCCACTGAAGATGAATGAGGAAAGCTCAGCTGGCTGCTCTGGTACTTTCAGGTTAGAAACAGCTCATTTCATTCTCTAAAATAAATGTAAGATTGAGGAAGTGCTGAATGTCAGCATTAAACTGCACTGAGGTTTAACGTGAAGACACGCAGGGAGCACAGAGGGTGCTCAGTACCACTGGAGAACTCTGTGCTTTCCACCTTGCACACCCCCAGGGCCCTGTGCTGGGAGGAACCAGGGAAAGGCTCCTGCAGAAGCATTCCCAACATCCCAGAGGGAGCTCTGAGCACGGCACACACACGGGGTCCCTGCTCCCAGGAAAGCAATCCCTGGCTCCGAGGCTGGCTCTCAGCAGGGAGGAGCCACCCTCGGCAGCCACAATTCCACCCCAGTGGCTCATCCCTGAGCTCCCAGAGGAGGTGTGAGCACCCAGGACTCCCTCCCTCCCTCCCAGGGAACATCCCTGCCTGCCCTCAGCTGCCTTGAGGCACTCTGCAGGCGAGGTTCTGCACTTCCCCAGAGCACACCAAGCCCTCCTCTGCTCCCGAGATGCTCCCAGAGGGCCCACTCCTCACTGCCAGGCTTGCTTACACCAAGAGACCAGGCAGGATCCAGCCCCCACACCTGCTTTTCTCTCTGCACCACAGAAATGCCCTGCAGACTTTGCTCCACCAGTGTTTCTGCTGCAGGATGGAAGCTGTGCTGGCCTGGAGCCATGAAAGGTGCCCCCAACAGCCCTGGCTGAGGGCAGAGCTGTGCCCTGACTCACCCCTTGTCGAAGAAGGAGGTGTGCCCTGGGTGTGGGTACTTTGTGCCGTTGCTGCTCATCACGGCGCTGTTGATGTTCCCTGAAATGTAGGATTTCCGTGAGGCCTGGTCCTTCGCAAAATTCCTGCAAGCAGCTAGTTTGGATTCTAAGGCCTGTGAAAGGGGAGGGAAAGAATAATAATTAAAAAGAAAGGTAATAATTAAGGGGAAGTATTTTACTGCTCAAGAGCCCAAGATTGCCATGGTCAGGACTCCAGTGTGATCACCCTTGGCAAAAAAATGGGAACAAAGCTGTCATTTCCTCTGTCACCCAACCACAGAGGAAACACACAGATGCTGATGCAGACTGCCAGACATTACTCAGCTCCACGAGGGCTCAGATTCTAGAACAGATGAACTCTGAAATAATTACCCAAGATAAGGAAGCCAAATCCTAGCAGAAGTTACCCAAACTCCTTGCTTCAGCAGCTGCCTGGAGCTGATCAGAAGACTGAGAGCCTAAAGCAGAATCCTCAAGCTTTGAGAAAGACTGTGCATTTGGAAAGTTGGGTTTTTCACCAGGACAATGCCTCCTGGAATTTCTTTCTTTAATCTTGCCTTGCAAAATAAAGTCAATTTCTAAAGCTTCACTGCCACCCTTCCAAACAGGCCTGGTGAGATCTTTTTCACCTCTGTAAAGTGACAGTGACTCCTGGAAGGAGGAGCAACATCCTGATTCTCTCCTTTACTCCAGAACATCACCTGCCCTTTCTGCCACCATCTGATCATCCCCCTTATCCTGAATTTCCATCTGGTGTAGCAGAAAGTCCTTACTCACTACACCCCCTCACTGCACAGGGGGGTTCAGAACATTGCAAATGCTGCACTGGAAACTGAAATTCATCTCCCCAAACGTGGAGTTTGGTCCTGCTCTGCACAGAATATTCCATTAAGGGAGCACTGACATGCTGGCACAGGTAAGTGAGCCCTGTGCAGCCTCCCAGGAACCCATGGATTTAGGAATTATGGATTTACAGGCAGCTGCAGGTAACTCTGGGTGTCACAGATTGTCCCCTGGCCACAGGCAGTGTGGTCTGAGCCAGGGACTCCCTGTCTCAGCTGTGGGCAGGAAAGCAGAGGGGAAACTTCCTGCAGGGATGGGGAGTGTAAGGCTTGGGATGAGGCACAGCCAAGCCCCAAAGAACCTGAGCAGCCTCTAATTGGAGCTGGAATCGAGCTGTGGCTCAGGGCAGGCTGGGAGAGCAGCTTGCTTATTTGGCATTTCCTGTCCTCGCAGAGTAATCACATGGGATTGTCACTAAGCTCCCTAAATCCCCTGCAGACTCTTCCTCACAATGATCCCCTTTTGAACGTGTCACTGCTAACCCCGAGCTGTCCTGCTGCCCTTTCAGACTGAGGCTGAGCTCACTGCCTCCAAATGGGAGCAGCCAGGCAATTTTTCGTGTCTAACTTTGCTAAAACAACTGTCTGTAGTGCAGCTCCTGCCAGGCCCAGGCTCAGGCAGGCACAGCTCCCCTGTGCTCCACTCACACACCAACCACCACCACGCATCGAGAGGCTCCTGGGAGCCCAAAAGTCATTTCTTCTTCCAAGAGGAAATCCTGGGTCCTCAACAACACTGCAGCAGATGTTTAAAGCACTTCTTCCCTGCTTACAGTGTAATCCATTTAAAGGCTCATGCATTTCACTTCCCCACCAACCACAGATGGGAGCATTTGGCTTTCTCCTCATTTATTTTCTCACTTTCTTACCAAAGGTTTCCAGGCTGGTTTTTCTTTCAGTATCTGTGGCAGATCTTCATGGGAAAGGAGCTTTCCCCGCAGGAGACCCTGGCAGGGTGATCCCAGCTCCTCCCTCACCCAGGGCCTGAGCTCCAGCTCTGCAGCCCAGACAGAGGAAGCTGCAGGCCCAGTTAAGTTAAGAACAAGTTGGCAGAGTCTAACCCAACACTTGAAAAATTTTTATTTCAAATATGAATTTTGTCACCTCAAAACTGGATCAGAACCATAGGATCAGGCTTTAAAAATCAAAATAATTAAAAAAATAATAGGAGTTATCAAATACTAAGCAGTGAATGTGGATGATTTGGCAGCTGCAGAATGTACCCAGCACAGGCTGAGGCTGTGTTGTGATGGAGCACAAGGACAGAAGCCCCAGGAGAGCTCAGAGCACTCACCCCCACTTTCCGTAGCAGATCCCCCACGATGTTGAGTGCAGATATTCGAGCTGAAGGAGTCAGTGGGCTGGTACCAAACCCATTTGGTATAGCTACAAACACAGACACATCTTATTATTTCACTCCTCCACAGCTCAGGTTTTTCAAAAATTAAAATAAATCAGCTTCTACATTAAAAAAAAAAAAACAAACCAACAAACATATCCACAATCTTGCTGCAGACATTTTGTACAGTTACCCACAGTAACTGTAGGATCACAGCCAGGGTAAATGATAAAGCTTAATTCCTGCCCACTGCCCTGGTTCCCATTAGCCCCCCCAGCAGAGTTCATGCACTCTCCATCTACAAGGCCACTGACTGCAATCCATCTAATCCAGCCAGAGCTCCCTCTGGAATCCACTCTTCCTCATCTGAAAAATCAAGTATTAATCCCTGTGACTGTCCAGAGCCTTCCAGATGGGAAAAGGGGATGGACTAAGACCCCACTGCCTCAGGGAGGAAACAGGACCCCTGGGAAGTCAATGTGGTAACAGACTCCAAACTCCTGACCATGCTCACCCACCACTGCTGCTGCACATCTGAGCACATTTATCAGTCCCTGCACTTCCCTGCATCCCCAAATACCTTCAGGGCTCTACAGCAGGCACCCAGTGCAGAGTGTAAAGCTCTGCCTGCCCCCAAAGGCAGTGTCAAGGCTTCACTGTCCTTTTCCATGCTGCTGCCTCCTGACACAGCTGCCCTGGGACTCCAACACACCCCGTGAAATGTGTGAGCTCCACACCCCCACAGCCACATCACGTCCCTTAAGGAGCATAACCAGACCCCATTCCTATGGATGATACCTTTTGGGGAAGGAAAACTATTTTCTGATCCTTTTCCAACGGGTGTAGCTGGCAAGGAGAGAGAGGCCTGGACAGCTGAATCCATCTTCTCACAGTCCAGAGTGGGAGAGCTGGGTGCTGATTTCCGGGTCACCTCCTGCTGCCGTTCCCTCACAGCCAGCTCCTGCCGCAGGTCTGAGGGTGGAGAGAAGGGAAAAACCCACAGAATCCCACATTAGTGATTGATTCTGTCACAAACGTTTGGGAAGGGCAGCAGGAGACACTTCCCAACAATCCTGGGTTAGTGCCTGCTGCTGCCTCCTCCAGCAGTGGGGACACCTCTCAGAGCAGCCCCATCCCATCCCATCCCAGACAGGAGGGAGCACTCAGCTTCCTGTCCCTGGATGGGGGTAGCTGATTTGCCCCAGGATTTCTCCCCATTTGCAGTCACCAAAACTGCAGCTGCTGCTGCTGCTGCTGCTGAGCCCAGCTCCTGCTCAAACACAGCTTGGAAACACAGAGCAATATTTTTCACACTTATTCCTGTGTTTCCCATTCCCTACATTCTTCTCCCAGTTAATAACCCACACAAGCCAAAGGCAGTCCAAGGGTTGCACCCTTGATGCCCTGACAAGTGAAGGAACAGAATGGAGGGCAGTCCAAAGGACAGGGAAAAGCCTGGGCATTAGAAAAGCCTGGTTTTATTCTCACCTCCCTCCCCAGACTGAAGTTTATCCCTACCCTGTCCCTTCCCTTTCCACAGCTTTTTGTTACAAAGAACATCCAGCACAGCCCAACCATGGATCTCTCAAGTCCCCAGAAAGATGCAAACAAACATTACAAGTGAGTTGCTCCTTTTTGGGCAGAGCAATTGGAGATTTCACAGATCTCACAGATCTCCTATTCCTTGCCTCAATCTGGTACAAAAGCAAAAATTAACTGCACATCACAGCTTTTAAGTTGTAACAAATATTTAGAACTGATTTTAGGTAAAACAGCAAAGCTGAAGGGAAAATCTGTCAGGGCTCCCAGAAAAGGATCTGAGGCTGTTCAATCAGAAATGTCATATTTGAGTTTGACTGTAGCAGCTCTTTCAGAGGCTACTGTTCCTGCTTGCTGCCAGGGGGAATAACTCACAAATGCTAAAAATGTCCAAATGACTCATCTAAGAAACAAGATGTCTGTTTTTCTGATTGTTCCAGTGTTCTAGAAAACAGTCCTCTGGGTTTTGCTGGCTTTTCCAGTTTTACTGCCCTAATCTCAAATTACAATACATATACTTCCTCAGAAAATTTCTTTCTTCATATTTATTACAAAATCCCCGCGCTTCCAATAAAGCTCCCAATTTCTGGGGCACAAACTCGCTTAAAAAAAATTCATAAAGGAGACCAACAACAAAACAATCCCAGCCTGCTGTCAGGTGTGTTCTTACACTCAGATCCAGGCCTTAAACCAGGAAATATTTTAGAAAGCTTCATTTAGAGAACAAAGTTGCAAACCACCAATCTCTAAAATACATTATTGGCTTGCACAGGCCTATGAGCAGATCACTTCCCCAGTTAGAGAAATCAGTTTACAACATCATTAAAATGCTTCCCCAGCATCCTCAATGTGAAATGCACTGGGGAATTCCCAACTCCCAGAACTTATCCCAGAACACCATCCCAAACATCTCCCACAGGTCTAAACACAGCCTTTACCAGAATATCTTAAATAATATATTTAAGATAACTTCCAAGGGGCTTAGAAGGAACACAGGAGAGATTTTTTTAAGAGTTACTTGGTCATTTATCCTGTATTTCCCTGTCACTTCCTGTGCTTTCCCTTCCTATAAACCCACAGCAAGAGGAACTTCTGAAGCAACTTCCTCAGTTCTCTTCTATCTGTGGATCAGAGTATTTTTGTGTTAAAAATCCCAAATTCATCTATTATTAATTCTATCCTAAATGAGGAAATTTTTCTTTTTGTCTACACTGGACATACAAAGAACACACTGTTAGTAAAACCTAAAGCATTCAGTTCAAGTCTCATCATGTGAAGCTTTCCAGAAACATGAGCTCTGCTTGCTGCACATCTCTTTTAGCAAACCAACCCTGCACCAGGAGCCAGAACCAACCAGACCAGCCATACCTCTTGCTTCATCCTTTAATCTCTGTACAGAGACCAGCAATGACTCCTTGTCATCCAGTTCGCTTTCTAAAAATGCATTTCTCTCAATAGCTTGGTTCAGCCTTTGTTCAAAGTCTTCCAATGAAACTATTGTTGCCCTAGAAACAAAATCCAGAATATTAGGTTCTTCAGCTCAGCCAGCATAAAAGCTTATTCAAAAGCATAACAGAAGGTAAATGTTTGCAGGGCTATGTTCAAGGTAAGCATTTGAAGGCCAGGGAAATGCTCCTTAGAAAGGAGTAATCAACTCCAAAAAACAGGAGAGAAAAAGTTGAGAAGAACATGACAGCATCTGGCTCTCAGAGATGGGCCAAAGCTGTGGGAAAGAGCCAGGCCAGAGCAGGCAGCTCCTTTTCCCCCAAGCCATGCTCCAAAGCTGGGCACTGACCAGAGCTCCCAGTGGGGCCGGGCTCCCAGGGCTCTGCCAAGGTGGGCAGCAGAGCACTGGGACACTGCCCATGACCCAACTCCTCCCAAAATCAGTGTCAGGAGTTACTCATGAGCCTTGTGGGAACAGGGCCTCAGCTCTCAGATGTTTCTGCAGATAGCCAGAGGCTCATTCCTGCTCTCCCTGAATCCATGGCAGAATTCCCACTCAGCAGAAGGGAAGCATGACCTCCTCCCAAACTGGGTGTTCCCACAGCAGCCAGTGCTCATTCCAGGCACTTGGAAAGGGCAGGATTGTTCCCTCCAGCTGTTCTGCAAGGGACCAGGAGACTCCTTTGGCCTGTTTGATTTAACAGGGACTATGGAAAGCAGGAGCTCCTGACTTCAAAGGGGCTCTGAGGCAGCAGGAGCACAAACATCAGTCACTCAGCTGGGGGTACCAAGGGCAGTGCCGTGGCCTGGCTGGCTCTGGGCTTGCTCCTCACAGCAGCACAAACCACACTGCCCTTCCTGCTGATGATGAGGGGCAACTGCACTGCTCAAAGAATGCAAAGTCTTGGGGGTGTCTGAGGCTTTTCTGATTGTTATTTTAGCTTTCAGGAACAATGAAATGCTTGAGCCGAGTAGCAAAGAAAAGATCTTTGGGGTGCAAACTTGAAGGGAAGAGGAGGTTAGCAGCCTTCACCTCTTTGCACGTTCCAGGTCATCATTGGCCTGTTCCAGCTCCCTCACATATTTGTGCAGCTGATCTTTGATGGCTCTTGTCTGGCTCAGGTCATCCTCCAGCAACGACACCTGCTTGTAACTCTGGGCATACTGGTGCTCCAGCTTCTCCTGAAACAAAGAACAGGGGGATAAACATCAGCTGCTGGCACTGGCCAGTCATGGGCAGGAAAAGGGGACAAGAAGCATCACTCTCTTTGCAGCATGGAGAAACTGGAGAGGGAGAAGGAACACGCTGTGAATGTCAGAGCTGGCCATGGTACAAAATCCCAGCTGCCTCTGAGGGATGCATGGCTGCATCTGCTCCCCACAGCCTGCACTGACAGCTGCTCCAGGAAGGCAGAGAAAAATGCAACTGCACAGCCTCCCCTTCTGTGCTTCTGCCTTGACAACACCCACCCTGACACCAGAAATGCTCAGATGTGTCCCTTGGCAAAAATGGGCCACTGAAATCTGTCACAAAACCTCCAGGCCCACAAACTCAGCCTCAAAAGACTGAAGAATTCACTGCCAAACACCCTCTGAGGGCACTGATTTGGGCCTATGGAGAAACTACTGACCTCATGAAACACATCCTGAGCCTGCAAGTACAGCTGAGACTGGAGACACAAAGTAATCCCATAAATCCTCCTTGCACTGAATGAATTTCTAACCTCTGTCTTCACTAAATAAGCCAAGACTGCCCAAAATGATGCTTTTGCAAGATTTCAAGAGAGACAAGAACTTGTTAACACAGAGGCATCAATTCAGAGCTACTTTCTGCACATGCAGCTCCTTAAGCAATTCCTGGCTCCACAGACATGGCTGTGAATGGACGTGGAGACTCCCTGAGAAATGTGCACAAATCACCCATTTTCTGGTTTCTTTGGGGTCTCATAAAACCAAGGAGACCCTGAGGGCAAAAAGACTGGTTTGCAAAGAAAGGTGACAAGGCAGTGGCCTGACAAAACCCCTGTTGCTATGCTGATGTTCCCTGTGGAACAAATAAAGCCCCAGGAATTCAAACCAGCACAAACTCCAGGAGGAAGTTTCATGACGTGAACAAGAAAAGTTCTGCCAGAAATGTCCCTGGCCTTATTTGGGGTACATGCCACGCTTCAGTGTGGATCTTAACCAGACAACTCCTTTTTTATTTGGATATTCAGTGCCCAAGAGCAGCCCAGATGAGATCCAAGATGTAGCTGAAAGGAAAAGCAACACTACGACAGAGAAGACTTACCTTTAATGTTTCCACTTCATATTTCAGTCTTTGGTTATCTGCTTGCAAATCTCTGTTCCTCTGCTCAGCTTGCACTAGCTGTGCCTCCAACTCAGCTTCTAATTCCCTGCTTCCCTCCTGGAATTCAGCCAGCTCTTCACGAGCCTCCTGGAAGCTGCAAGGAGAAGATTTCATCAGTGGAAAATCCAACATCTCCCAAGTTAAATCAGAGCCTGCACCTCTCTAAAATAAAAAGCTGAAAAAACCCGAGTTTTAAAACACTTAAGTGTCATCCATAGACCTCTAAGGTGGAAAAGAAAAATGAGGAAACAGAGAAATTACATTAAGCTAAGCTATTGAAGGAAACGAATTCTCTTACATCAAACCCAACAGCCACCTTGAATGCCTGTGTGGATCAAAGCTATTTACAGGATTTATGGGAGCCTGAGAAGCACTTTGTGCTCCATTAGCTCTCACTGCTGGCAGATTTTATGGAACAGACAATGAATTAAGCAAACATTTAACCAGATTGTGGTCAGAAACTGAAGAGAGAACAACAGTTTCTGCACCTTTGCACTAGCTGGAAAATTAAAGTTTGTAAAAATCATGCAGAGTCAGGAAGGCAGGACATGCCTACCTCATACCACCACAAGTTATTAAATACTAGAAGTAGCCACTCCACATACTTTGCTTATTAAATTTGCATCTTTACCACACGTAATAGCTCAGCCCTGAGCAAGCAGCAGAGAAAACCACTGAGGCTTTAGGCAACAACACATCCAGTGGTGTCTCAGGTGGAATTTCTGACACACTGGAACAGCTTAGGGTTCTCCACAAGGACAGGTGCCTCCACATTCCCAACATGTCCCTCCCAAAAAACCCCAAACCAAACAAAAAACCAACTTGGACCTTGGGCTCTTAGGGCTTGAGAGGGATTTAACCCCAAAAAAACCTCAGCCTATCCCCCAGATGCACAGCATTACTCCAGAGAGCAGCTTCTCTTGGCACTTTTGGTAACAAAAAGCCCTGTGTCCCCTAAGAGATGCAAAGCAGTGGTGCAGGCAGGACCAGGAGCTATGAAACACTTGAATAAAATGCAGCAGATACCAAATCAGCCACTTTTCATACCAGTAATTCCACTCCAAGAAGCTTGAGGGAACAGGAATGATACAAGGCAAGCCCAAAGGTGCCTTCTTATGATAAAATATCAAGATACCACTTAAGGCAGCACTTTAATTACACAAAGGTGCACATGATCATAAAAGGCTCTGCTCTTGCTCAAACATGCTCAAAACATAGCCTGCAGTTCTTGGCATGGTGACACTGGGCAAGAAACACTCAGCTCCCACAGAAATGGAAATTTTAAAGCTGGAAATCCTTTCCAGAGAATTCTCTTCTCACAGGTTTTCTCTAAAGTATCTAATAACCATCTTGGTGTGGTCTTGAAAAGGAATAGATTAAACATTGTTCAGATCATTAAGAACCAAATTCAGCCTGCAAATCCACAATACCTTTGTTTGTACTTCAAGGAAAGCTCTTTCCAATATGCAGTTTCTTCCTTTGGACTCGAAAAAGTAGGGATTTCTTCACTGTCCATGATCAACACGACCTGCAGGACACAAACACAGGAATACACTCAGGACAAACCCAGGCAGAGCACCTCAAAAACCTCTGCTCAATCCTGGCCTTCAGCCACAGCACCAGGACGTGGCACCCACACCCAGAATGTCCAGAATCCTGCCCAGGGCTCATCCAGCACACAGACCTGCCCCAACGAGCCCCAGGATTTTACCCAGCCTCTGGAAGTGCTTGTGGAGCAGCCTGAAATGAGCCCAGAAATTTTTGTTGGATTTTGTACCTGCCACCAAAACTCCAGCTGGTGCCACAAGCCCACTCAGGCCCACAGCTGGGAATACACTCAAATTTACAGCTACCAGTTTCCACTTTACTTCATTAAATGTTTTTAACAGATTTTGCCTCCTGCCACCACACAGTGACTGCACTAGAGCTGCTTTTAGAGCTGCAGAGGTGAGCAGTGAAGGAGGATGAACACTCCAAGTGAGGTAACTACAAACAGCTCTGTGTGGAGATCAAAACTCAACTTTTTCTTCCTGCAGCAAGTCCTGGCTAATTCCTACTTGCGTCACATGCAGGTAACAGGAATTATCCAGGTACTTGTGCTGCCTCAAACAGACACAAGGAAGATCAGCCTCTCCCACAGATGTCACAGAGGACTGTTCCCAGCCTGGAGGAGTCCGGAGAAGTTTCCCACACCAAGGCACTGCTGTGCCCTCTCCATGAAGATCCTCCTTTCTTGGACCTCCCCAGGCTATCAGCCAGCACAAGAAACACAACCCAACACACTTTTTGTATGGTTTTCTATGGTCTGGGGGACATTAGAGGCCTCAGGTCTGAGAGGTGATGAAGGAGATAAAATGCAGAGCAGGACCAGGGACTGCTCAGACCCCAGCCAGGAGAGGCACCTCCTGAGACCTCCCCAAGCAATCCCACAGCTCTTTAAGGCATTTTTTTTTTTCTCCTCAAAAAGCCAAGCCTCAAATGCTGTCCTTACCACCCAGAAAAAGAGTGGAGTGAACCCAACCTCCCCTGTGCTCCAAGCAGAGGCTGTGAACAACGCCTGCACCAAGCCCATTGATCAGAAGAGCTGATCTAAAAGTCCTGACTTTCACACTCTAACAGCCATCACTTCTCTGTCCCTTCAGGCTAAAATTGTCACACTGATGTGTTCTGTATCTCAGTGACCCACATTTTTGACACCTAAAAGTGGGCCAGAACAATCCCATGCTTTCGTCAGAGGGCAGCCAGGCCAAACACTGCGAGGCAGAACTGGCACATTGGCTCTCCAGCTGAGCCTGCAGCTGCCACAAGCCAAGAGCAGATTTATCCAGAGGGTTCCAAGCACCTCAAAAACACCTCCAATCTCACATTGTGTTTATTTAACTCCACAGCTTTACTGCAGAAGCCAATGTGTCATGGCTCAGGTCCTCCCACTGCCCAGGAGAACGGATGGTGATTCCTTTCCTGTGCTGAGCAAATGAAAAGCAGCTGTGGAGCCATTCCCACCACAAATTTCAGACAGGATTTTCTTTGGGAGCACTTGCATCAGCCATTACCAAGGCAGCTCAGTCACTCCACAGGGATGAATTCCAAGCCCTGTGCAGAGACTGTGGATGTGGAGCTGAGGATTCCTGCCCATTCCTGCAGTTCCTTGCTGGGAGCTCGGAGGGGAGCAGACACCTGGCAAAGCTCTGCTGTGCCCAGTGATTCCCAGTGCCAGGACAAGGCACTGCCGGGTGCTGTCCACAGCTCTTGTCCAGCACTGATCCAAGCCTTCCATAAATGCCTCCAACCTTTCCCTGCACAGCTCTAAACCGGCACAGCGCAGAGGCTCTGACCAGCAGGGCGCACATTCATCCCAGAATAAATCAGATAAAGCACAACACAGGCTCAGCCCCCACAGCTCCAGAGGGGCTGAGCTCAAAAGGTGAGCAGCCAAGCTGGCTGTCAGTAAAATTCAAGATGTGGAAAGGAAAAACCTTGTACAAGGAGGCATCTTACATCATTTCCTAGAAGTAGCTAAGATAAGGCACAAGACTCCTTCCTGTCTGCTCACACAGGGCACACCCTTGGAAATCAACATCCAAGGGATCCCTGCAAGCACAGCAGCCCTGCAAGAACAGGAAGGGCTGCCTGGGGCTCCCAAGGACAGGGGGTGTGTTTGCCCCCCACTCCTTGTCCAAACACCTTTTCCTTTCAGACACTGGTGGGAGGAGATTCAGGCCCTGGGCAGGCATTCCTCCTTCCCAACGCTCCCAGATCTTCTCCAGCCCTCTCATCCTGCCTTGGTGAAGTGGGTGGTAGGTCATGATTCATGATTGCCCCTGCTCCATGTTCCCCACCATCCCTAATGCTATCAGCAGGGATTTGGGACCTGCTGACTGCTCTGCATAAACCCTGCTGCAGATGCCATGCCAGCCTGCACTGCTGAGCTCCAGCATCCCTATCCTGCTATTTAGCACTTGTATTCCCATGGGGGGGCAGGAGAAGGGCACACAGACACCCTACAAACATGATGCTTCACAGCCAAAATATCAACCTGGGAGCTGGGAGATGCTGACAGCTTCCAATCCTGCTCCCAGCACACACGTGGCCACGGGAAAATCCTTCACTCCACCAGCCCTTTCCCATTCCCTCAGAATGACAGCACAAAAACATGGACTGTGCAAGCAGAGAGCAAATCCCAGGAGTTATCAGAACACAACCAGACAATTCCACACATCTCATGTGTGGGAGAGAGGATGCCCACGGAATACCACGAGTTTAACAAAAACTGCTTTGCCTCAGCCTGTTGTCCCAGCCCCAGGAATTCTGTCAGGAGCTGAGAACCAGCACGGCCAGCCCTTCCTATTCAGGGCTCCTTTGCATACGTGGCACTTGCAGAATCCAGCCTTTGACAAACAACACTGAGGCTTTCAGGGAGCAGACAAGACAATGCAGCAGCGTCTTCCAGGGAAAATGAGAGCAGGCTTATGCTGCTGCCCACTCAAATTCATTCCAACACAACTTAGCATTCACACAGTGCCCTGGGAAAACACAGCTCCGTGGGCACAGCTCCAGCTCCAAAGCTGCTCCCAGACAAGAACTACGTTCAAAACACCAAGGCTCCTTTCAAGCCCCCCCCAACAAAGTCAGCAGGACACAGCAACTCTCCACTGTGAAAAGGGAAGAACTTTTCCACACTGCAATGACTCTAAAAAACCACAGAGTGGAGGTTAAGAACTTGTCTAAATCCAGAGGGGTTTATACAGCACAAATCTGTTTTCCCACCTCAAAAGCATCCTTCAAATGAGAGGAGCAGTATCCTCCGGATATCACAAGAGCCAAAAGCTCAAGAATTCACCAGAAGGAACCCAACTAACATGCAGACTATTTTTCAAGTAATTTAAGGAATCTTGCATTCAAGGCCAACCCCAAATCTCTCTGGAACCACCTCCCAGCTAAGCCATGAAAACACAAACACAGCTTGAAGCGTAATACGGTACCTTAAAAAAGCTTCCCGGGCTCTCCATGTGACGGGAGACTGCAGCGAAGCTTGGGATGAAATCTAAGACCAAAACACTCAGCCTGAAATCCAACACGACATCTCAGCTGGGACCCACCCCTTCCCACAGTGGGGAATCCACTCCTCCCTGCTCTCAAAGTCACTCAGTCCCTCACACGTCACACCAGGGATGACTTTGAGCACTGTAATTCACCCTGGATGTACCTGCAGCATCTCAAGTGGCTGCAGAAAGAATTCCTCCTGATTTTAATTGCCTCACACTGTCTCATTTAAAACCAGCTCATAAATACTGCCATATAAAGAGAAGGAATATTACTTGGTCTTCACGAACAGGTCGTTTTTCTGCACATTTTTCCGCTTTCCTCCTCACAACCCCATTTGCCCAATATTTTCAGACACCAAACATGAAAAACTAAGCAGAAGCAAAAGCAAGGCCACTCAAACAGGACCAAGCACAGGGCTGAACTCCCCCAGCTATGCTTGGCTGATCCCCCCTCCCTTCAAGGCACCACAAAAGTCCACTGACCTTTGGAATTAAACAAGCAACCAGCTCAAATAGGACTGGATCAAGAAGTTCTGCCAAGCTCACATGTGGCCTTCAGTTCTCGAGATAACAACCCAGTGTGGCTATCACAAAATGTCCAAGTGCCTGTTGGCTGCCAGTCCCCCCTTCTCAGAGGCAATGACGCCGTCCCTGAGTGCTGGCACCACCCAGGGCTGCCACCCACAGCAGGAAGGACCGTCCACAACCAGCTCTTCTTCCTCTTCCCCCTTTTTGCTGATTCACAGGCAGAAAAGCAGAATAAATCTTGTTTCCATCATTCTTCACCTTCTCAAACCATGAGGACCAACAGGTAAGCTCCAGCTCCTGAAGCTCTCGATTTTTTCCCCGCAAACACAATCAAAACTCAAAGCAAGGTAAGCCCAGCACTTCAGCCAAAACTCAGAGCAAATGTGCACTGTCTTATTGGAAGATGCAAAACAAACAAGCAGAAGCTGTGGATTAGATTTCACCGATCAAATTGGGCTTGTTTTGCTCATGCTGGAATAGGAGCCGGCGGATTTCCATACGCCTTTGGAGGTGTGCCTGCATCCATTGCTGGGATGAAACTGAACCTCTGGGAAGTGAACCTTCTCCTGCAGTTCTATTTTTGAACTGAATGTTCTCGAGTGAACCACAACAAATGCCTCCTCCTCTCTTACAACAGCAGCACGGGAGCTTTCAGGAAGAGAAGAAAGTCACCGAGCACAGCGTCAGCACAACGCTCCTTGCTCTGCCGCAATAAGAAATCCTGCATTTCCAATTTGGGCAGCACAGGAGACAAGAGATAACCAATTCCTACCTGCAGGAACTTGGTGCCAAATTCAGAAAAGGCTTTAAGATAAAGCAAGCAGCACACAGCAAAGCCTTGTTATCTCAACAGCCTCATTAATCAAATATAACATGTCTGCTTTACACCACATGGCCAAGACTCATCTGTCTGGTGAATATTTGATATCCAGTCACAGGAAAACCCTTGAAGAGTGAGCCAGCACTGGGTTAGAAGCCTTGAAACCAGAGGAAATGCACTGATGCAAAAAGCCTCTTCTCAGAAATCAAGCTACAAATACCAAAAGTATCAGAATTTCCTATTAAAAAACGTATCTTGCTTTCACAAACATGGGAAGTTTCAGACATTTGACCTGTGTTCCTTCCCAAGTAACCTCACTGACTAAAAAAGAAGAGGCTGGTGTTCCTGCTGCAGGTTCAGTACCTGCAGAGGTGAAGGAAAGGCTCCTGGAGCTGTGAATGTCCCAGAACACCCTGGCCTGAGCACGGGGACAGTTTGCTCCCAGCTCCAAACCCAGGAACTCCAAAGGGATGAATCCACACAGAGAGGAGTTCACAGCAAACTGGGAAGGAAATTCAGGCTCTGGAAAGGATATGCTTGTCACTGCCTGAGCCTCTCTCCCCCCTAGGCAGGCTGGTGAGGTGTGCCAGGCAGGCAGCAGGAGCTCTGATCCTCTCCCACGCCAGGCTGGCAGCTGCCACGGACCTGAACCCCTCTGGGGATCACCCCACCTTCTCCAGCTCTGCCTGCTTCAAACCTTGAGGGATCCCAGGGCACCCCACCCAGCAGCCATGATTTATTTACCTGAGAGCCTGAGCTCCCTGCTGCCCCAGCAATCCATCCCTGTGACACCTCCCTGGGAAGGCAGTGGCCAGAGGGAGAGATGCTTCTGGACACAACAGAATGAGCAAGGAATTCCAAGGGAAAAGCACTCAGCATAGATTTCTGCCAATAGAACTGAATTAATTCTGTCGCTTTTTCATCTCTGAAGTTCCACCAGTGCTGGGGGGGTAAAATGGATTTGAAAAATCCCCCCCAAAATGGCACCACAGAGCAGCCCCCAGAGGAGAGGGGCTCTGCAGTGAGCACTTAACAACAGGAATATTAAAAGTAACCCCCCAAACTCTATGCTGATCAGGAGAAGGAACCAGCACAACCTTCCACTGAGCTGTGGGGACAGAAAAGCCCTCGAGGGACACAACCACATCATGAAAAATCTGCTCTGTTGGGTCTGGCTGGCTTTGCCTGGGGGTCAGGGCAGCACAGCAGTGCAGGCAGTTTGCTGAACACACTCCCCAGTTTATCTTGATTATGTTTGTGGTGTCACAAACATCAAGGGCTGAAAAAATATCATTTCCTTTCTTCAGTCTGACTTTCCTGGCACCTCAAAAAACCAACAGTAATGGACTGAGGGCATAAACTGTACTTTGTTGCTGTACTTCCTGGTAGTCTGCTGCCAGCAGCATCTCCAGAGACAAGATTCCTTGTGACACCAAGGTCACAGACATCATCACAAATGAGGAATTATCTTACATACCTGCAAACTGTGAAGAGTCAGGGGGAACAAAAAGAGGGTTTTCCCCTGGAAAGGAAGGAAGGAAGGAAGGCAACTCAAACACTGACTCAAGCACTGCCTCTGAACACTTCCTTCACTTCTGGGACTCCCAGTGACAAGTGGGATTAAATCTTCTCGCCTGGGCTCTGCCTCCACATACACAACAATATAGAAATGCACAACCCAGCCAGGAAACAGGACAAGGGATCTCTTCCAGGGCAGACCTAACACTGTTAATCCCAGATCCACACTATTTACCCACCTCTGCCACATCCTGTGCAGCCACAGTTAACTGGCACCATTAACCAGCCTGTCTGTGCAGTCACACCGCAAACACATCAAACTGACATTTAAATAAATAAATATAGAAGCACAGGAATCATTCAGGTTGGAAAAGACTTCTGAGATCATCAAGTCAACCTTTGACTAACCACCACCCTATCAACCAGACCAGAGCATTGAGTGCCACATCCAGGAGTTTCTTGAACACCTTCAGGGATGGGAACTCCACCACCTTCCTGGGCAGCCCCTTTCCAAAATATCTAAAAGCCTCTGAGGCTCTTTTTTTTTTGCCTTGGGACAGTTTCTTCCCTTTACAGTTACTTTTATCTCTAACAAAACACTGACCTTGGAAAGGCCACCAGCTCTCCGCAATGTCCAGGAATTGTTTCTCGGGGGGGTGGGGGTGGGAAAAAAAGGTAAAGGAAGAAAAAAATTTTTCCTGAAGTATCCAAGGAACTCTTCTACAGCAGTTTCTTGTATTTAACCACCTCTCAGGCAACAAATGCCACCGGCATCCAGAAGTGCCCTCCACCCCCGCACTTGTGAGCAAGTCAGGAGAGTGGCAGAGGGGAGAGAAGGCCTGAGTCACTGCCAGCGCAGACTGGGCTGTGGGTGGGAGAGCAGAGCTCTCCTCCTCCCCGGGAAGGAGAGGGAAGGGTCGGTGGGAGGCACCGGGCTGAGGGCAGGCTCGGGGAATGGCTCTGCTCTCCCGTCACCGCATCCTTTCCAGCACGTCTGCTCAATTCGGGTCACGCTCATCACCCGGCCACGGGCTGCTCGGGGCTGGGCACCTCCAGACAGAGCACGGCAGGGCTCTGTGCGCTCGGAGAGGATGACAACCCCCGAGAACACCCTCCCTGGAGAAAACCCTCCCTCCATCACTGCCAAACACCCAACGGAGAGCACGGAACCACAGGAACGGAGCTGTGAGATGATGGAGCCGTGAGCTAACAGCCCGTGTCACCCAGCAGGGCACTGCCCTGAACACCCCAGGGATGATGACTCCACCACCACCGCCCTGCCCGCTCCAATCACCAATTCCGGGAGGGATCTCTTCCTAAAAAACACGCTGTGCCCCGGGCATAGGGTCCATCAGGGATTTCACGAGAACAGAGGCAAACCACGCGTCCAGCTCCCTGCCAGTGACTGGAAATCGCCCAGGCTCGGGGCGGAGGC